CCCCATCACCCACTGTGCAGGCTGGTCCTCATGTTCTCTGTGAAGTGGGGGTGGCGACAGCACCCAAGAACTTGGTACATGAAGTGGGGTGAGGGAAGGCAGAGCCCTACCGAGTGCCTGGCTTTGGCGGCAGCTGGTCAAGTCAGTGTGGCCTCTCTTGTGAGGAGGCACAGGCCCCACGGGGGCTCACAGCATCAGGAAGAGAGGCAGGGTCAGCCGGGGGTAGGGGGGCAACTGGATGCAGAGGAAGACGGGGCAGCAAATGAGATGAGGGACAGGGAGGAGCAGCCAGGTGGGGGCCAACAGGGTCCTATCGTGCGGGTTGGCTCGGCTCACCTGGATAGTTCTCCTGCTTGCCTCACTTGGAATCTGTGCAGTCAGATGGCAGCTGGGGTTGGAGGCCCAGCTGGGCTAGAACATCCAAGATAGCTTCACCATCACATGTCTGATGCCTTGTTGCTCTTCCCATGGCCTCTCTTCCCATGTGTCATCTTATCTTCCAGGTCCTTTCTTTCCAGTAAGGTCATCAGACTTACTGCGTGGTGGCTGGCTTCCACGAACACAAAGCCAAAGGCTGCCAGGTGTTACGGCTTCAGCCCAGCACTGGCACTGCATTCTGTTAAGTGAACTGAGTCACAGGGCCAGCCCAGAGTCATTGTGGCAGAGAACTGCACTAGAGCACCAATACCAGGCAGCATGGGTCACGGGGTGTGGGGGGGGGGCACCAAAGTCAGCTGTAGACACCCAGTCAGTAAACGTAGAGCCACGTGCAGCCCCAGGTTTGTCTGGCTCTGCGTCCCGTGCTCTTAGCTCTTACGAGGTCCCCTCCGGTGTTGGGAATGAGGGGCGGGGTAGGTCATGGTGGTGCAGGATACCCATTCCACAGTCAGGTCACACTCATCAGGGTGATCTGGACATCGGAGCCCTCGTGCCACTGTGTCACCAGCACCTACTCCCATGAGCTCCTACCATGTGTTGGGCCCTTCACCTTCCTCATTTTTCATCCGTCTTCAAACCACATCTGAAACTTTCTTTTTCTGCAAAATGGGAATGCAGTCAGTTGCCCAGGGATGCAGGAAGCACACATAGAGCTCCCAGCAGAGTCTGTTCATGTCAGCGCTAGTTATTCCTGGCCACTCTGAACCAGAGGGCAGCCAACCGGGGTCCCTGGTGGGACATGTTGGGGCCGGGTGTCGCTGTCGGACCAGCCTGAGTAGAGTTAAGGGAGGAACAGGATGTACACCCTGAGACCTGCAGCCGTGCTAGGTGTGAGCGCCAAGCTGGTGGGGACTTCCGTCTTCCACCCCATGCTGGCCTGGGCTGTGGCAGGTGTCTGAGCTCACCTCCCATGTCTATCCTCTCTCCAGCAAATGGAAAGGATCCTGAAGAAAGCATCCAAAACCCACAAGCAGAGAGTGGAGGTAAGTCACATGCCCAGTGGGGAAGACCAGGCTATGTAGGGTCCCAGCTGGGCCCAGAGGCTAGGAGCCTGGCAGAGGGAGCCCTGGGAGTGGTGGGGTGGGGGGTGGGATAACCCAACAGAAGCGACACCTCCCCAGGGTCATTTAAGGATGAACCCAGGGTTCAAGGCTGGGTGGCTTTGAGAGGAGGGGGCTCACTGAGGAGAGGCAGAGTGTGGAGAAGTGGGAGTGGGCAGTGCCACACAACCCCAGTGCCCTGTCTGAGGCTGTGCTGATGTGGGTTTTCTCGGCTTTCCCAGGACTTCAACAGACACCTGGACACCCTCACGGAGCACTATGACATTCCCAAAGTCAGCTGGACAAAGTAGCCTCCTCACCCAGGGTATGGAGTGGCATCAAGGGGAAGTGGAAGGCAAAGTTGGGGTTATGTTTCGTGCCTTTGGTATTTTCTAGAAACATTCTTTTACACACACTCTTGCGTCTTCTGCTGAGACAAGTGCTTTCCAAAGCAGTGTGCCCTCTTTTCTGGAACTTGATTAAAGTAAGACTGTCTGTTTACTCTATTTTGGTTTGTCGGTAGCATAGAAGATAAACCTTTTTAGGCTGGACTGGAAATTTTTGCAAGTTTATCCAGAGATTAAGGTTATTTCTGTGTGTCACAGAAAAGTGTCTTTACCCCCCAGCTGCATCTAACTCTGATAGTCAGCCAGCTCTCTTTCCCCGGATGAAACAGACTCCAGAAGATAAGGAGCTTATACCCCCATGGGGCCCTGCATGAGCTGTCCTCCCAGGCTCCCTCTAGCTTGGGGCTTAGGCTGTGCCTTCCCGAGCCTAGGGAAGACACTTGAACCTTCATGGCCTTCGGAATGCCTCCCCAGCCACCCTGGTGTTTGAGACAGTGCAGCCTGGAAAGCGGGACAACCGCCTAAGGCAAGGATGGAATGCACACCTTGTCCCTGTCTGAGCCTGCGGCCGGCATGCAGCCTCTTCCCCTAGTGTCCTCACTCCAGACATGTCTAGAGGGTGTTGCCATGGCAGACGTTGTTACTCAAGCAGGGCATCCCTTTGTAATGGAACCCCGACACAGCCTGCCTCACTACCCTCAACCCAAGGCTCTAAGCATCCCCTGGGTTTATTCAGAGTTGGCACATAACTTGTAGCCCGCTTGGCCTTTCTGGCCTAAGGACACCTCAGAGGTGACATGACCTGGGCAGAGCCCCAGCACAGACCGTGCAGTCAAAGGGGAGGACCCAGGTCCTGGTGCTGGAGAGCCATAATCTCTGAGGACCGACGTGTACCTACTTGCTGAGGATCAGACTGCATATACTATTGGGAGGAAGACTCTCTTGACCCTAGGTAGTGACAGAATAGCAAAGTCAAAAGAGAAAAACCAGATGTTGGGTTCGGGGCTGTCACCTGTGAACAGAATAAAGCAAAAAATGGTTATGAAACAGAAGTCTGAATGTCTTAACTATAAGCGGTTTGATTATCACTAGAAACACTGCTTTTTGGATTTATTGCACATGTAGAATGCGCATACTGCAAAGTGACCATTTACCCTCAACTTGGAAGAAATTAGGTGACATGTTTTTCCACCTGTGGCTTGCAGCCCACCTGAGAGGTAATATACTGTCTCATTAGTAGTGGCTCCTTGGGGCAGGTTCCCTAGAGTTCTCTACTGCCTAGCCGAAAGGCACTTGGAGGCCTTTTCCATCCATGAGTCAGCCGCTGGGGTTTGTGAGCATGATGGGATGCTGTGAGAAGCCATTGTCGGGATGCTGGAAGATAGATACTCCATCTCTCTGCCTACCCAATCTAAAGCCGAATGACTTAAAACAGCAGGATTTCTCTTCGGTGGGTCGACTGCTGGGCTGGCTGGCTCTATGCCATGTGGTGTAGCTCACCTGTGTCGCTGTGTTAAGTTGCCTGGGGCCAGAACAGCTAAGGTGACAGCTACTCCTTCAGAATCTCTGTGTAGTCTCTTCCATTGGTCAACACAAGTCACATTGCCAAACCCAGTCAGGGAGAGAACTCCATGGGTGTGGACACCGGGAGACATGGTTGATTCAGGCCATCGCTGTTAGTCTACCACAACGTTTCTCGAACTCTCATGGATGTTAGACTCTTCTGGGAGCATTAAGAACCACCGATGCTGCCTGGGGTGGGGTTCAGTCCCTGAGATTTTCCCCAGAGCTCAGATGACCCTAACAGGCAGTAAAGTTTGAGAAACCCTGGTCTACTGCAATGGGTCTGGTCTTTTCTGAGATGGTGCAGAGGTCAAATCTGGCTTATGTATTAAGTGTAAATGCCAAGGACGGTGATTTGAATCCCTCCCGCCCCACGCATGGAGAATGGAGTAATTTATGTAAACAGTGTTTACTGTGATGGTGCTCTTGGCACTTGGGTGTCTTGTTTCTTCAAAAGACTTTTGTCCAATCTGTTCCTCCCAGCCCTGCCCTCCCCATACTGATTTTAAACATCTAAACATTGCCTAGAGCAAGGCTGAAAGGAAATGCTCCATAATGAGAGGGGTCATCTCTCCTGGGTGGTTTTTCTTTGTCTCTTACACTTTTTGGCATTTCCGTGGGTTTGTTTTTTTTCCCCGTGAAGTGTATAATTTTGTAATTTTTAAAAGACATGTTTTCCTAAAATATTGAAATATTTGGGGCAAACTATGAGGCTAGGTATAATAGGGTATTGTACAAGACAGTTGTCAAAAACTCTCTCCCAGACGTTTTGTGAAAGAATGCTTCCAGCCCAGGATTTACTTGTCTTTAAATACTCCAGTTTTCTCCTCTGGATTTTCTTGCACTTCATTTCTATCCTAAGCCGAGGATATATTGCAAAAGCCATCTTTCAAAACCCCAAAGGAGATAGAAGGGAAGATCAAAAGTCAGAGGCAGGCAGCCTGAGTAAAATGGTCCTGATGCTGCAGGGTTGGGGTCCCCAGAGCGCTGTGATGGTTCACTAGGACAAAATGCAGGCATATCTCCACAGCCTGAGTGTTCATAAAGGCAGTGAGATACTCAACTGATGGATCAGGGGGCACAATGTGCATCACCCACTGCGGTCACTACCTACAGGAATGAGAGAAGTGCTTTTCACCGAGGTTCGGCGGGGCATGGTTTTCAGATCATAAATAGGCACTGACAGGTAACAAGTAGTGACTTGTTGGTAAGGCTTGAGGGCCATTCAGAGAGTTTGGCCTCTTTCCAAGTAACCACCACCTTCCCTTCCCCTATAAAGTGTATAATAATTAGTGACTATATTTGTTCCTGGAACCCCCACCAGACTATGAGTTTCCTGGGACTGGGCCCAAGGTGGGTTCTACCACCTGTATGTCACCTCACTTGGCCCACGGAGGCCGGGCGGGGGTTTCCAGCTGCCCTGGTCCCTTCGCCCCACCTGGCACCTGGAGAGTGCCTGGCGTCAGTCGGCCCCGCCCCTCCGGGCCTTACTTCCGGATGCTTGAGGCAGGAGCGGGAAATAAGGTCACATCGGGCGTACTGCGCCTGCGCGCACTCCGCCTCGCGCCTGCGCCTTTCTGGCAGCCCCTCCCCGACCGGACATAACGGTCCGCGCGCGGCTCCCCGGACCGGAAGTGGAGGCGAACTGTCGCGGGACGCGCCCGGCCTTGCTCAACGCCCGGCAGTCCCCGCCGTCGCCGCCGCCCTCGGCAGCTGCCGAGGCGTCCCGCAGCCGTCATGTCCGCCAGCGCCGTCTACGTGCTGGACCTAAAGGGCAAGGTACCTATGGCCCCCCACCCTCCCCGTTACCAGGCAACCGGTGGGGCCTCGCCCTCTGGGGGGGACCCACCCTGTTCCTAAAGTAACCCGCCAATGGGACCCACCCTAGTCTTAGGTGGGGAGGCTGGTCGGCCTCACCTGGGGGCCCCACCCTGTTGCTAGGTAACCTGGCGGGGGCTTCGATCTGGGAGCCCCGCCCTGTTGCTAGGCACGCCCAGCTGCACGGCTCTCCTCCCACTGTGGGTCGGGTGCTCAAGCCTTCGTGGGGGCATCGGGGAACCTGAGGCAGCGGGGAGGGCGGGCCGCAGCCGGTTTCGAAGCCAGGACAGGCGCTCAGGGACTGTGCGACCCTTGGCCAGAGGTGGTGAGGCGTGTCGGGGACAGTGTGCCCTCGGGCCAGTCCCGCCCTCTTTATCTGGAGGTTTCTCTTTGCCAGTCCCCGCATGGATTCCAGGATTAAGTGACGCGTGTGGTGGGAGGGCCATTTTACAGAGGGAGAAACTGAGGCACAGAGAGGCGCGCAACCTGCCCAAGGTCACACCGGCCACAGAATGGCCGGTCTAGGAATCAGCTGATATTTGGGGAGCACCCGTAGGGGGTGCTTAGGCTTGGGCTGCCTTTGGTGAGCAAAATCGGAGTCCTGGAGCTCACAGTCTGGTGGGAGAAAGGGACACTGATAGAAAGCACACATCTATGTCAGTTGCCATGATGAAGCAGTGAGAATGTAATAGGAGACTATGCCTGGGCTCGGGGTCAAGGAGGGCTTCCGGGAGGGAGTGACAAATCTGGCAGAGACCTGAAGGAAGAGTTGCACGTGACTAGGACCCAGGTGCCATTCCCAGGGGACTCTGGGAAAACTTCTTAAAGGAGGGATTTCAAAGCCTTTCCAGGTGGGCTGCAGCCTTCCCCCAAGTCTGTCCTGGCTAGAAGGCAAGTGAGTATTGGCCTCTTGCATCTGGAAGTAACAGGAACAGTACCAGCAATGCTATACAAGTCCCGCATGGATCACTGGAAGAGAGGTGGGCCTCGGGCCCAGGGGGGCAGGCAGGAGTTAGCTCAGAAGCAGTGGGGAGTGAAGAGGTGAAGTGGCTATCCCTTCCTGCCCCCCTCCCAGAGTACCCTGCTCTAGCACTTTCTGAGAGTCCCTTGAGTGGGTCGCCTGCCCTGGATGCCACCCAAAGTCAACAGCTAGTGAGGCCCAGTGCTGGACTCCCTTCCCCAGCCCTCAGGCAAGGGAAGATACAGGACACACCAGGGGCCAGGTGGGTGCAGTGTTCCCAGAGTCCTCGTAGCATGTGCTCTTCCTTCCACACTGGACACTGTGTCCCGAGTTCCCAAAGGCTGCCTTATCTCAGATCTCTCATTCCTTCAGCAAACAATTCATGAGCACCTAGCGTGCACCAAGCCCAGTGCCTACTCTTATCATGACTATGCAGTTAGGGCTGAGTTCAGAACCCATCTCTGCTGCGCAGCTGTGTGACCTGAGGCAAGTACCTTCTCTTCTCTGAACCTTGTTTTCCTCACTGGTCACGCAGGCTGGTTATGGTGTTATTGTGCAAACTCTCCGAGCAGATGTTTGAGACAGGCTAGCACCACCTATGGCCCACAGTCCTTGTTAATCCCGTCTAGGGCCTCGGGTTCTAGCACGGGAGACACACGGAAGCTGATGGATCCAAATGGTCAGATCTAGGTAGCTTGCAAGGGCATGGACACAGCCCCACGTAGTATGAATGCCAACCTCAGTTTTGGTTGCAGAAGGAGAGGTGGTTACGGAAGGCCTCCCGGAGGAGGGAGGTGCCAGAGCTGGGGCCAGGTGACAGTCAGGTGGACGAGGAGGCATCGCAGTTGGCCTGAGGGGTCAGGGGCAGCCTGCTGGGGCTGGTGGGCCAGAAGACCCGGGTAACACTGGAGCCTGGAGGATGGCACCAGCAGGGCCATGGGTGGTTGAGGATGTCCAGATGGGAATGAGGAACAGAGGGGACCGGTCTGATCCCAAGAAGGAGGAGCCACCAGAGGAAATTGTAGCCTGGGAGGAGCATGACCAGACCTGCCTTTCGGGAAGCTCCCAGGGCAGTCATGGACTTGCCTCCGGTCCCCAGCAACTATCGTGCTATTTATTACTCCATTCCACATGGACCTCAGGTTTTAAAAGGACCTTTTGTGCAGACTATATTTAATAAAAAGTAAGGTAATGGCACATTAAGAAATTCATGACCACACGTCTGTCTGCCAGCCAGAACCTCTGATCACCAAGGAAACCAGCCACATTTAGCTGCTAGAAAGCCCTCATGGTTACTTCTTTGCCTTTATCTTTCTTGTTTCTCTGCAGCTTCTAACACCACTACCATACTCCCCAGTGGGCTCCCATTGGCCTCCGAGTTGCTACTCCCTCTTGTTTTGCCCATTTCTGTCACCGTCTCCTGGCCGCTTCCCTTGGATGTTGACTCCTCCTGCTCAGGCCTAGGAGTCCATCCGCACTGTCCTTCTCCTTGGGCAGCCTTTGACCCTCGTCCGTGTGCCAGTGACTCAAGTTTGTACCGCAGTCCAGGTACTTATCTGGAGATCCACTGTTCTCTGGGATACCTCGGAGGTCCCACAGCCACCACAAACCTGGCATTTCCCAAAAGGAACTTGCTGCCACCCCATACCTGCTCTCTCCCCATCTCAGTGAGTGACACCACCGTCCATGGGACTGCCCTCATTTGGAGACCTGGGCATTATCCCCGCCTCCTTTCTCTCCTCATGCCCATGTTCACTCCACAGACATTCGCTGAGCACCCACTGGCATCAGGCTCTGTTGTGGGTGCTGGGACACGGTCGTGAACAAGATGGAAGTGGTCACCGTTCTCAGGGAGTCTTAGACTCTGGCAAAAGGGACAGACCATAAAAGAGGATAGAAATTATAGTGCAGCAGTGTTCTGGGCAGTGAAGGAAAAGTGGAGTTGGGGTAAGAAGGGACAAAACACGATCTCTTTGGCAGGGCAAGCAAGGAGGACTTAGAGGAGGTGCCACCTGAGGTGAGGCTTGAGAAATTAGCAGAGGCCAGGGCATTCTGGGCAGAGGGAACTGCAAGTGCAAAGGCCTCGAGGCAGGAACAGATGTGGACGGTTCAGAGAGCGGCTAGGGGACCGGGATGGCTGGAATAGGGTGACCCGGGGGTGAGCGTGGGGGCCAGATGGACAGAGAGGCATGGGCGGGGCCATGAAGAATCAGTTTGCCGTGAGGTTCAACTTGCAGTTTGTTTTCAGCACGAGGGGAGACTGGGGAAGACAGCAGTTTCAGCACGGAGAATCCCAGTCTTGAGTTCTTAAGAAGACCCCTCTCGCTTTTTTGTGGGGAAGGAATTGTGGGGGTCAAGAGCAACCATAAGGGTCGGGGTTTGTCACCTCAACATTGCCCGCCTCCCTTCAATCTGTCCTGTCTCCTGCCTTTGTCCTCTCATCTGGGACGTGCAGCCCAAGCTCTGAGGTTGTCCTCACTCCACCTGACCCGTGCTCCCCGGTCCCACCGTGGGCTGCACCCCTGACTCTACCCTGTGGCTCCAGCCACCCTGGTCCCTCTGCCTCTATCCGCCCTGTCCCCTCGGGCCTCAGTTTGAAGGTCACACCCTCGGGAGGCTCTCAGTTCCTCCTAAGCAAGCGTCCCAGTGCAGGGACTCTGTTTTGGTCACCTCTGTGGCCCCAGGCCCAGCATGGTGTGCGGTAGAGGGCGCCCAGTGCCTGCTTGTTGGATGAGCTGGCCTCTTTGCAGCCCTGGTAATGGAAGTGAGCAAGGGAAGTTGCTCTCTGCTCTTTCCTTTGAGCATTCTGGGGGCTTGGGCCTCCCTGCCAGCTGCAGCCCCCGGAGCTGTATACCTGGGGAAGAAGATGGGCCTTGGGAAGCCCAGGAAAGCAGTTTAGGGAGCAGAAGGGGCCATGCAGGCGGTGAGAACTGGTTAGAATCTGGACTCACCTTTGCTGGCTGTGTGATCTTGGGCAGGTGGTGCCAGTTTTCTGGACACCACCGTGTGTCTCTCTCAGAGTAACAGTCCCGCCTCGTGGCAGGGCCGGTATGTATTCCCGGCAAGGAGTATATGACAGGGCGCACGGGAGTCCCTTAGCCCAGGCCTGGCCCATGTTCCCATCAGCTCACCCGCTGGGTGCTGGGTCCCTAAGGCCTTCTGGACCTCAGCGGGAAGAGGACATAGACCAGGAAAGGGAAACTAGGAAAGAGGTTCTCATTTTGACGCTTTTTCTCCGATTCTCTCTCTGTCCTGGCTTGAAACAACAAAGACAGTGTATTTTGTGGAACTGCAGGTTCTGAGGCCGGCGCCGCACAGCACGGTCAGCTCTGCAGGGCCCCGCTCAGCTCAGGGCTGAGTCCTGCAGCGGCTGTCCCCCCAGGCTCATGGGAGCAGCTCTAGGCCGTGTCTCCACATAGAGCCTCTCGCAGCCTGGCAGAGCCTCGGCCACCTCCTTGTCCCTTCGGGGGGGGGGGGTCGCTTACGTGGACCAGACTGCATTTCTTTGATGAGTCCAGTCACTGTGTAAACCCAGGAAGCCGTACACACACACTCCATCACCCCCTGAGGCTTCCTCGCACCCCTTGTGTCCAGCCCGTCCCCAGGCTGCCACTGACGTGCTTTCTGTCACCACTTCCGAGGGCTTTCTGTAAGTGGAATCCCATGAGACCGGATATGCTGTCCGTTGTCTGGTCGCTCACCTGGCCCGGTGGTCCTGGGAGGCCCTTGTGCTGCCGCCCGAGTCAGTAGTCACTCCTTCTCGTGGCTGAGGAGCCTTCTGGGCTGTGGATGGACACAGTTCTTGTTTCCGTTCACCTGTTGGAGGACATTGGCTCTCCCTCCAGCCCGATCTATGTACAGTAAAGCTGCAGTGGATACGGGTCTTCACATGGATGTACGGTTTCGTTTCTCTTGGGTAAATACTTTCCTTAAGAGAGGAATGGCTGGGTCTTAAGCTAGGTTTACCTGTGTGAGAGCCTGCCAGACTTTACCAAAGTGCTTGTCCCATGTTAAGTCTCCGGGAGCAGTGCGCGAGGGTTCCAGATGCTGCGAGTCCTAACCCACAGGCTATGAAAGAGTGAGAAAGAAGGAGCAGCCCTAGGAGGAGCTTCTCCTCAGGTCTCAGTGGGTTCTGGTGGATGTGAACACTCAGCAGTGTCCCCTGAATGGGCACCCTGACACAGGCAGAAAAGTGGGGTACATTAGCATAGGAAAGGCTCTGGGAAGGTCTGCAGCGAGAGCCTACAGGAAGTTGTTTTAACCTGGCATCTCCCAGTTGACTGGGTCCTGGACCGTTGCGCCATATTCCCCTCCCCTGCAGAGCACCCGGTTGGCCCCTGTGGAGTTCGCTTTGGGAAATGCTCTCCTTGAGGAATTCCCTGGGGGACAGAGATCAGCATGGCCTGGAGTCTCTGATGGACAGGGGTGTGACTAGGGTCCCTGCGGTGAGGGAGGTTGGTGTTCTCACCTCCTCACCCCAGCACCTGGCTTGTGGGGCTCGCAGTGAAAGCAGTGTCATCCCCTCCCCCCCCCCACTCCCGGCCCAGGTGCTCATCTGCCGGAATTACCGCGGCGATGTGGACATGTCAGAGGTGGAGCACTTCATGCCTATCCTGATGGAGAAGGAGGAGGAAGGGATGCTGTCGCCCATCCTGGCCCACGGGGGAGTCCGCTTCATGTGGATCAAGCACAACAATCTGTATCGTATCCCTTTGCAGGGGAGCTCCCAGGGGCCTCCTGTGTGCACGCACACACGTGGGCAACCGAGAGCTTCCAGTACCCGGCCTCGCCTGGCCCTGGGGCTGGCTCGGGCACCCCCTCCCGGAGCTCCCTGCGGCCTGAGGGGATGAGCGGGGAACACACAGGAGCACATGTGATGGCTGCTAGGAGAGGAGAGGGTACGGCAGGGGACCTCATCTAGTCTGGGGATCCAGGAAGGGTTCCCTGAGGAGGTGACATCTGGAGGAGACCTCAGGAAGACCAGGTGTCCACTCTCCAGAGCGGTAGGCAGACACGAGGAACGATAGGCCCAGACAGAAGCTCTGCAGAGAGAAAGCGAGGCTCATTCTGGAAGCTGCAGTAGGGGTGGCTAGAGCACTGGAGAGGGGGCGTGTGGTGGGGGTGAGGCCCAAGTGGTCAGCAGCTCTGAGGGGTCTCCTAGGATATCACCTTTGATGGGAAGCCCTTGGAGGGTTGTAGGCAGAGGGGTGACACAAAGCCAGATTTGCGTTTGCTGAAGGTGTCTGGCTGCAGTGCAGAGGCCAGACTGCAGGGAACAGGAGCGGGTACGGGGAGGGGGCGACGAGGCTGGGGTTAGAGTGTGCACGTTAACGTGCCCATCGCTAGTGCCTCGTGTGCACATTACAGCGAGGGTGCTGGCCTGTGACCCTCGTCTGGCCCCCTGAGGTCCAGCTCCTGCAGCCTCTGTTTCTCCTTCCCCTTGCTCTCTGGAGGGCCTGGGGGGCAGCTCTACAGAGTACCCCAGGCGGCCTGTAAGCCAGGAGTTAGCCATCTGTGAAGCCGCCCTGGGTCTGGGCGGTGGCTGCCCAGGTGTGGAGGTGGCGGTGGTGTGAGCTCAGCAGGAGCTGTCTGACCAGTTTCCAGCTGGGCCCCGGTTTCATGCGTGGGCAGCCAGGGAGGACACGGCAGTGCCTCACCTCTCTGGGTTCTGCTGCCCAACACCCTCTTCCTGCTCCCTCGTTCCACTGTCGGGTGACAGTTTCCAGCAGGGCCCAGCCTTGAGGGCCTACTGTCCCTCCTTAGAAAGCACCTGAAGGGCATGTGGTCCCAGGCAGGAGGAGGGAGGCCAGCACTCCTTTGACTGGCCCAGCATCCGTTTCCTGGGTCCCTGCTCTAAGGCAGGAAGTGAGGTGGACATGGGCCCTGCCATCCCTTTCCCCTGGAGCTCCCAGCTCAGCCCCAGGGTCCAGGTGGCACAGGCGTGTCATGAATGGGCACGTCCAGGGCACAGCACATGGACCGGCAGTGGAGGACCCAGCCTACCTCCTCAAGGTAGCTTGAGGCTCTTTAGGGAAAGAAACAGGAAGTGCCCAGCACATGCTGACCCTTCCCTATGTGGGAGGGAGAGTCTGTACCACACACTTTACACACATCACCTTGATGAATCCACTGTCATGCCCCCATCAAACAAGTAAGAAAATGGAGATGGTATTAAAAAAGTTTGCTTTAGGAGCCAGGGCTTGCAGGAAGGGCTCGAGCCAGCGTTAGCCCCAGCTGCTCCTGCTGGAGCCTGGCTGGGCAGCGGTATCACATAAGCCATTGGTTTTTGGGGAAGGACCAACTGTGGTCCTGCTTTCTGCTCCCAGAAAGAGCCGCGCTGCCTCCCCACCCTGGGCTGTTCACCCCACCCAAGGTGTACCCTTACCACCATGCTGGGCTTTGGCTCTCAGCTCAGATTACCACCTCCTCAGGGCAACCCCTCACCCCCAAGCCAGTGGCTGGGGTGGGTTCTCTGTGTCCCCTGCTGCCTCTCTGTCATGGAGGACTCCCTTGGGGCTGGGGCCACGTCTGGTGACTGCAGTGTCTCAGGCCTGGCTCAGACCATAAGCCAGTAACCCCCTGAAGGCCAAGTGAATGGCTGGGGGTTGGGTTGAGGGACGTTCTGAGCCCAGAGTGGCCGTGGGGGTCCTCCCAAGACCTGCAGTGAATCGGGGTCTACGAGGCAGCAGCCCAGGCCTCTGAACACTCCTTAACTGGGGCCGCCATGCAGTGGTTGCCACATCCAAGAAGAACGCGTGTGTGTCGCTGGTGTTCTCCTTCCTTTATAAGGTGGTACAGGTGAGTTGAGTCACAGTCCCCCTCTCTGCTGTGGGCCTCCGCCCACCAGCCACCCGAGAGCTGCAGCCTCCCAGGGAGTTCTGGGGCTAGAACCCCAGGAAATGGGAAGGGGGGGCTCCAGCTGCCCCGTTTGTGGGATTTTTATGGCCTTCGGTGTCCCTTTGACATGGTGAGGAGGGGAAAGTGAACAAGAGGCGGAGCTCAGGGCGGGTCAGTGCTCCCTGACTCCAGGAGGGACAGCTGTGCCCCACAACTGGCTGTGGAAGGGTGGCAGGGGGCCAGCTGAGAGTCAGAGCTTAGGGAGGTAGGCTAGCCAGGAGGAGGGCAGAACCAAATTCTGCTCAGAGATGGGGAGGCAGTGAGAGCAGCACATGCAAAGGCCCTGAGGCAGGAGGGCGTGTGGTATGGTACGGTCAGGGACCATCAGGCTGGCCAGTGTGCTCAGGACGGTGAGGGGCTGAGGTCAGCAAGGTGGGCGGGGCTGGACTGTGGGGTCGGGGACGCACAGGGCCTAGTGAGGAATTCGGATTTCATTCCAAGCCTGATGAGAGATGGTGGGGAACTTTAAGCAGGAGACTGACAAGACCTGACTGGAGTTGAGATTGTCGGGCTGGTTGCTAAGTGGAGGAAAAACTTGAAGGCGACAGGGAGGCCAGTGAGGAGGTTGCTGTGGGCTTCCAGAGGAGAAATGGAGGGGCCTGGCTGGAGCAGGGGCTGTGGGGTTGAAGAAAGTGGAGAATCGGACCCAGGAGGCTTGGGGTGGGCGCAGGAGAGCTGTTGTTCTCAGGCGGTGCCACGTGCAGCTAGTTCAGGAGCCACTGTGCTGGACAATGGGAAATAGGTTGGTCTGGGCAGTGGGCAGGAGAGCATGTGTCCCCCTGGGGAGCCCTGAGTCTGGGCTGAGGAGTAGCCTTCATGCCAGAGCAGTGGCTCCGTCACAGGAGTGACTTCCTTCTGGGCTGAGGAGTAGCCTTCATGCCAGAGCAGTGGCTCCGTCACAGGAGTGACTTCCGAATAGAGACCCAGCGGCTGGTGCCAGAGTGCAGAGGGACATCCACGGACCAGAGATGGGGAAAGGGGGAAGGAGGGAGGTTCTCCTCCCTGCAGCGTTTGGCATTTCCTTTTTGCCTCGGTGACTTTCCTTCAGGGTTGGTGCTAATGAAACTTTTCTCCTTTCCCTTCTTTGATCCTCTTAATTTTCTGTTGAACGGGGGGGGGGGGGGGCGGGGCATGTGTCCACAGCTCAGGGGAGTTGGAAGAGTCTGGAAGAACCGCTTGTTCTGACCCCAGTGGCTCTTTTCCCTCACCTGAGTCACTTGTGACTCAGAGGCAAAGGGTGACAGTTAAGAGTGGGGATTAAAGAGAAGCTCTGATGGGGCCCTAGACCTGGGGAGGGGGGACCATCAGGGAGGAGAGGAGAGGGAACCCACAGGGGTAGAGATGCAGGGCTTCTGCCCAGGCCCCCCCCTCCCCCCCCGAGGATGCCTGCCCCACCCGCAGCCTGCTTCCTGCTGCTCAGGCAGCCAGGGTTGTCCTTCCGCCCACGGTCTCCGAGCCTGAGGCCTGGCGTGTGGCACGTCGCCACGGCTCGCACATGGGCAGCTGCAGCTTGTGGGCATAAAGGGCATGTGGCTTTGTGTGGGCGTCCCCCCTTCCTTGGCCCCGTCTCACCCCATCGCTGCCCCCACGGCCCTCACCACAGGTGTTTTCAGAGTACTTCAAAGAGCTAGAGGAGGAGAGCATCCGTGACAACTTTGTCATCATCTACGAGCTGCTGGACGAGCTCATGGACTTCGGCTACCCCCAGACCACCGACAGCAAGATCCTGCAGGAGTGAGTGGGCAGGGCGGGGACCCAGGCCTGGCAACATCGCATCGTTTATGTGGTCAGGTGTGGAGACAGGAGGAAGTGAATGTGCCTTCATGTTGGGGGCCGCCACCCCGTCTCCAGCTGTCCCTGGGCGGTTGTAGAGTCTTCGCCGCTCAGTGTCCCCACGAGCACGAGCAGGTCCCTGGTGCCAGGTGGTGCGCTAAGTGCCTTGTCATTAGGGAGTCACCTACCTTTGTCTTCACTGTCATACATGACACGCATTCTTCTCGGCAGTCCAGCCCTGCCCTCCACACCGGGGCAGGTGGATCAAGTCCCTCCTGTGCACCAGGCCCTGTTGCGAGTGCTTCACCTTCACTCCTTTCAGAGCGAGGGGCGCGGCTCCCCATTTTACATGGCACAGAGGGGCACTCGGAGAAACCATGTCACTGGCCCACATCTCGTGCCTGTTGTTCCCCAGGTGGGATCGGGGTCACCAGCTTCCCCCCCCCCCCCCAGGGGGCAGTGCCCCCTGCCCCCCCCCCCAGGGGGCCGTTCGTGCCCCCCCCCTTTTTCCCCGCCAGTGCTTTCTCCTTGCCTGCCCCCCCCGCCCCCCGCAAAATGAACGCTCTACGCTCATTGTAACTTGAGTTTGTTGGGGCTTTTTGGATATCGTAAGATATTCTTTTTTTTTTTTTTAAGATTTTATTTATTTATTTGAGAGAGAGAATGAGATATATATAGAGAGAGCATGAGGGTCAGAGGGAGAAGCAGACTCCCTGCTGAGCAGGGAGCCCGATGTGGGACTCGATCCCGGGACTCCAGGATCATGACCTGAGCCGAAGGCAGTCGCTTAACCAACTGAGCCACCCAGGCGCCCCGTAAGATATTCTTGTATTAAAGAGCTCTGGTGAAACCAGAGCCTGCCTTTTCTAGAACCTGCTACAGGGAGGGGCTGTTCTCAAAATGTTGGTGCCCCAAGTCCTTACCCTGGGTGTGGTTCCGCAGGTACATCACTCAGGAAGGCCACAAGCTGGAAACGGGGGCCCCAAGGCCTCCAGCCACCGTCACCAACGCAGTGTCCTGGCGGTCTGAGGGCATCAAGTACCGGAAGAACGAGGTGTTCTTGGACGTCATAGAGTCCGTCAACCTCTTGGTAGGCTTCCTTTCATTTCTTTTCTTCCTTTAGAGAAATTTTGTCTTCTCCATGATTGAAATAAAAGCAACTGGACTTTTACAACTAGCAAGGCCCTAAGAGACATTTACTTTCTGTGTGACAGCTGATCAGCAGGATTCAGTTTAGGCCCCTCATTGCAGCTGGGGAGCCTGTTTTCTCTTCACTAGCTTTTGTTTCTACTTAGAATCAATGCAAGCACATCGCGGTTGTTGCTGTTTAAAGCAGGGTGGAAAGTCAGAAAGCAAAGGCCTCTATGTTCAGAGAGACCACCTCACTTAAGATTCATTATCATCCTTTCGGGCCCCATTCTGTACATTTACAAACACGTGCTGTCTTTCTGTAAAGCCAAGAGCATAAGATGTGGTTCTTCCACAACTTATTTCGTTAGTGTTGTTTGACTGTTTTGTGCACATTGTTTTTTCCTTTGATGTAATTTTTTAAATTATCACTAAATAAAATTGACCTTCTTTTCTGTTAATTTTAGCACATGTACAGATTTTTGGAGCCCACTGCTATATAATCAGGATGCACATCCCCTCTAAAATCCTCCCTCCACCCCTTGGTAGTCCCACCCTTCCGCCTCTCCCCTGCCCAGCAGCCACCGCTCAGGTCCCCATCACTATCCAGTAGCCCCCCATACTCCAGTGTTTCTCTTCCCCAGTCAACCGTGGTCCGGAATCAGACGGTCCGCCTCCTGACTGTTGCCAGGTCAGCAGCAGCTTCACGCTACATCACAAGGCCCATGTCATTCACCTCGCTTCGTGTTGTCATGAGGGCATTTTGTCCTCTCTCATCATTACAAGAAGAAGGGTGGGTCTGGTACAATCAGATGGTTTTTTTTTTATTTTTTTATTGTTATGTTAATCGCCATATATTACATCATTAGTTTTCAATCAGATGTTTTGAGAGAGAGAGAGAGAAACCCCATTCACATATCTTATATTGTTCTAATTGTCCCATTTTATTATTAGTTCAATGTTCATCTCTCACTGTGCCTCATTTATAAATTAAACTTTATTAGAGATATATGTGTATAGGAAAAAAACATAGTATATAGAAGGTTTGGTACTGTCTGCGGCTTCAGGCGTCCATGGGGTCCTGGAATGTATCTCCTGCAGATAACGGACGGCGGGCAGCGGGGGGGGGACTTCTCTAATGTTGTCTTTTTGAGATTGTCCTATGAATGGAATCATACAGTATGTGACCTTTTGAGTCTGGCTTTTTCTATTTAGCATAATGCCTTTGAGATTCATCCAAGTTACTGTTTTTATCGAAAGTTTATTTCTTCTTATATTTACTTATATTTATTTTATATCCTGAACCACACCTTGTTTATCCATTCACTGATTGAAGGACTGTTGGGTTGTTTCCAGTGTTGGGCAGTTGTGAATAGAGTTGCTGTAAACATTTCACGTACAGGTTTGTGTGCAGACAGAAGTTTCCATTTCTCTAGGGCACATACCCAAGAGTGGGATTGCTGGGTCATATGGTAAGTGTATGTTTAACTTTATAAGAAACTGCCAAACCATTTTCCAGAGTGGCTGCACCATCTTTGCCTTTTCACCAGCGGTGGATGAGAGTTCTGGTTGCTCCACATCCTTGATCAGTGTTTTGATTTTCACCATCCTAATCAGCGTGTTGTATTAGCTCATCACGGCTTTAATTTGTAAGTTCCCTAATGACTAATGATAACCACCTCTTCACGTGCTTCTTTGTCATCCATAGATCATCTTTGGAGAAGTGTCTTTTCGTGTCTTTTGAGTATTTTTAAACTGGGGTTTTTTTTATGATTGTTGGATTTTGAAAGTTCTTTATATATCCTGGTTACAAGTCTCTCATCAGATACGTGATTTGCAGATGTTTTCTCCCAGTCCATCACTTGTCTTTTCATTCTTTTGGTGCAGTGTCTTTCACAGGACATAAGTTTTCTGGGTTTTTTAAAAAGATTTTATTTATTTATTTGACAGAGAGAGACACAGCGAGAGAGGGAACACAAGCAGGGGGAGTGGGAGAGGGAGAAGCAGGCTTCCTGCGGAGCAGGGAGCCCGATGCAGGGCTCAGTCCCAGGACCCTGGGATCATGACCTGAGCCGACGGCAGATGCTTAATGACTGAGCCACCCAGGCGCCCAGGACAAAAGTTTTTAATTTTGAGGAGGTCCAATTATCGATTTTTTGGTCTGTGTGCTTTTGGTGCCATGTCTGAGAACTCACTGCCAAACCCAAGGTCATATAGGTATCCTCCTAAATTTCTTCAGAAAGTTTTATAATTTTATATTTAGATCCATGATCAGTTTTGAGTTAAGTTTTATATAAGGTAGGAGGTTTATATGCAATGTTTTTGCATCTAGAACAGTGTTCCAATATCATTTTTTGAAAAAACTATCCCTTTCTCCATTGAATTGCTTTTGTATTTTTGTCAAAAAGCAATTGGCCATGTTCATGTGAGTCTATTTCTGGACTCTGTTCTGTTCCATTGATCTGTATATCTGTTCATTAGCCCATACCTCACTGTCTTGATAACTGTAACTTTATTTCAGATTATATGATCCTGCCAACATTCTTCCGTTTTCAGAATTGTTTTAGCTATTTAGTTCCTTTGTACAAAATTTTAGAATCAGCTTATCTATATCTACAAAAAGATCCTGCTGGGATTTTGCTGGGTATTGTATTAAATAACTCTGTTAATCAGTGTGGGAGAAAATTGATATCTTTAGTATATTAAGTCTCAGAATCCACAAATGCTGGATTAGTTAGGTCATCTTTGATATCTTTCATCAACATTGGTAGTTTTTACCATGTATACTTTTTTTAGAGTTATAACTAAGAGTTATAACTAAGTAATAACTAAGTATTTCATTTTTTGAAGGTGTCGTAAATTGTGTATTTTTTATTCTATTTAGTAGAATTCACCTGTGAAACTATCTGAGCCTAGAGATATCTTTTTCAGAATTTTTTTTTTTTAAGAGAGAGGAGGAGCAGAAGGAAAGAAAATCTTCAGCAGGCTCCACACTGGGTGTGGAGCCTGACTCGGGGCTTGATCTTAACCACCCTGACATCAGGACCTGGGCCAAAATCGAGAATTGGATGCTTAACCAACTGAGCCACCCAGGCACCCCTTTTTCAGAATATTTTTAACTACAAATTTCAATCCTGTAATTCTTATAGGATTATTCAGATTTTCTCTTTCATCTTAGGTGAGTTTTGGTAGTGTGTTGTTTTTAAGAAGCTGGTCCATTTCATAGGAGTCATTGAGTTTATCTGCATAGTGTCATTTATAGTATTCCCTTATTGTTTCTTTAATGTCTGCAGGGTCTATGCTGATGTCCCCTCTTTCATTCCAGTTATTGGCCATTTATGTCATATTTCTTTTTTCCTTGTCAGTTTTGTGAGAGTTTCATCTATTTTATTGATCTTTACCAAGAATTGGCTTTTGCTTTCATTGATTTTCTCTGTTGTTTTTCTGTTTTCAGTTTCATTGATTTCTGCTATTAGCACTAGTATTTTCTCCTCTGTGATTTGGGTTTATTTTGCTCTTCTTTTTCTAGTTTCTTAAGTTGGAAACTGAAGATACTGATTTGAAACCTCTTTTCTAATATAAATATCTAGTGCTTTTAATGTCTAAGTAATGCTTTAGCTGCATCCCGTAATTGGTATGTTGAATTTTCATTTTTGTTCAGAAAAAGTTCAAATTTCCCTTGAGACTTCCTTTTTGACCCATGGATTATTTAACAAAAGTGTGTTGTTTAATTTTTATATGTTCACAGATACTTCTGTTATTGTCACTGATTTTTAATTTAATTGCATTAGTATCTAAGAATATACTTTTTAAATGTCAATTCTTTAAATTTGTTAAAGTTTATTTTAATGAACCAGCATATGATCTATCTTGGTTAATTTTCCATATGCACTTGAAAAAAAATGTATATTTTGCTATTGTTGGGTTGAGTGTTCTGTAAATGCCAATTAAATCCTCTTGGTTGGTGATGTTCAATTCTTCTAGCTTTTTTTGCTAATTTTCTGGCTACTCGTTCTACCTATTATTGACAGAGTATTAAAAGCTCCAGCTGTTAATTGTAAATTAATGTCTTTGCTTAGCAAATTTTGACATTGTGCTGATAGGTGCAAGCACATTTAGGATTCTTATGTTTCCTTGGTGAACCGACCCTTTCTTTTGTCATTATATAATGTCTCTCATTATCCCTGGTAATTTTTTTGCTCTGAAGTCTATTTTGCTATTAATATTGTCACTCTAGAATTCTTTTGATCAGTGTTTACACATTATATGTTTTTCTATCCTTTTACTTCTTTTTCTAATCCTTTTATTTTATTTTTAAAGATTTTGTTTTTTAGTAATCTCTATCCCCAATGTGGGGGCTCAAACTCACAACCCTGAGATCAAAAGTACACTCTACTGACTGAGCCAGCCAGGCACCCTGTCCTTTTATTTTTAACTTACCTATATCATATATCTTGTAGACAACATATAACTGGGTCATTTTTAAAAGGGTTTTATTTAAACTCCAGTAAGGTAACATACAGTGTAATATTAGTTTCAGGTGTACAATATAGTGATTTGACACTTCCATACGTTACCCGGTGCTCAAACTGGGTCATTTCTAAAAATCTGTTCTGAGAGTCTCTGTCTTTCAATTGCTATGTTTAGAGCATTTATACTTACAGTAACTATTAATTTGTTAGATTAAGTCTACTATTGTATTATTTGTTTTCTTTTCGTTCCCTCTATTTTTCATTCCTTTGGGTTTTTTTTTTCTTCCCTATCCTTCTATGGTCTGTTTGAATATTTTTAGCATTCCATTTAATTTCTTCATTGTGGTCATTACTATATCTCTTTGTATAGTTTTTTCTAGTTGTTGCTATAAAATGCATACTTACCTTTTCATCATCTACTTAGAATCAATATTTTATCACTTCACTTGGAAGTGAAACTTCCAGAAACTTTCCTACCTCTTGATGCTAGAGTTGTTCCATATATTCATCTAGATACATTGGAAACCACATCAGACAGTGTTAAGACTTTTTTAAAAAGATTTATTTGAGAGAGCAAGAGAACGTGAGTGAGAGAATGAGGGAGAGCATGAGCAGGGGGGAAGGGCAGAAGAAGAGGGACAAGCAGACTCCCCACTGAGCAGGGAGCCTGGGATCATGACTTGAGCCAAAGGAAGACACTTAACTGACTGAGCCACCCAGGTGCCACAGACAGTGTTAAGATTTTTGCTTTCAATTCTCAGACGTACTTGAAAGCAATCAAGAGGGGAAGAATAACAGTCTTCCACGTAACCGAGACATTTGCCACTTAAGTTGCTTTCCCTTGATTTCCTGACTTTCCAGGTTTCCTTCTGGGAACATGTCCCTTGCACCTAAAAAGCTGCTTTTAGCAATTCTTTCAGAACAGGTCAGCTTGGTTTTCCCTCCTCTGAGAATGTCTTCATTTCATCTTCATTCTGAAGGATATTTTGACTGGGTAACAAATTCTGGGTTGGCAGTTCTCCTTTGGCACCTTGAAAATGTCCTGCCATCCCTTGGGGCTCCGTGCTTCATGATGAGAAATCCACAGTCCCTGAAATTTGTATCCCCTGTAGGTAATGCATTGTGTTTCTCAGGATGCCTTCCGGATTTTGTCTTTGTCTTTCATTTTTAGCAGATAGATTACGATGTGTCTGGGTATGGGTATCTTTGGATTTCTACTGTTTGGGATTTGTTCGGCTTCTCAAATCTGTAGGCTTATGTCTTCTACCAGAATTGGGACATTTTCAGCCAGTGTTTCCTCAAATAGGTTTGCATCATTTCACTCTTTCTCCTTTCTTTTTGGACTCCAGGGACATGAATGTTAGACCTTTTGTCAGTGACCCAAGGGCTCCTGAGGCTCTTTTTATTTTATCCCATCTTTTTTTTTTCCTTTTTGTTGTTTAGATTGGAGGATTCCTTTTGATCGTCTTCAAGTTCACTGACCCTTTCCTGTTTTGTCCCCATTCTGCTGTTGAGCCCATCCAGCAAGTTTTGTATTTCAGTCATTGTATTTATTAGTTCTAAAATTTCCATTTGATCCTTTTTCCCGCAGTCTGTTTCTCTGCTGAGACTTTCTATTTTAACATTTGTTGTCAGGATGTTTGTGATTTTTACCTAGCTATTTAAAGTCTTTGTCAGATAATCCCAGTATTTGCATCAGTGTTGGCACCTGTTAACTGTATTTTCCATGTGAGCTAAAATTTTCATGGTTCTTTGTATGCCAAGTAGTTTTAGTTTCGATCCTGGACTTTTTGAATATTATAAGATTCTAGGTATTGTTTAGATTATACCAGAAATGTCAGTATTTGTGTTTCAGCTGACAGTTGACCTGGTTAGGTTCAGGCCACAAGTTGTAACCCCCAGTCTGTGGGCCATGAGATGAGTATCAGTTCAGTTTTCAAAGCCGTCATGCCATTTGCTATTTGAGCTTATCCAGAGTATGCTCCACCTGCTGGTCGGTCTGGGACTGTGCAGTTTGTCTCTCAAAGTCTTTGACATACTAATTAGGATCATAGCCACTCAGGCCCAGTTCTAGAGCTCTGGAGACATAAACAACTGCATGGGTTTGTTTTCCTGGACTCCTTATTCTTAGCTATCTTTCTGGTACTTTCCAGCTGCTTGGGGCATCCCTTTTTGGTTCTGTGACCACCTCACTGGGGGCTCTAGATCCCCATTCTGTTGTGCTTGTCTGCAGTGGGCCCCCATCCTGGGTTTGCCCCACCCTCTGGGAACAGCAGCTGGGTTGCCTGGGGCCTGGGTGTGAGAGAACAGATAAAAGGGAGGAATTAGGGGATTTCTGTACTCGCTTTAAGAGGCGGGAGTTCCCCTTCTGGCCCTGAAGCCAGAGCTAGAGGCTTCCACGAGCTCAGTCTGCACCCCAGTGCTCACTTCCACTTCCAAGTTTCCTCTGCACTTTCCCACGGAGGGGAGGCAGGGAGGGCGCTGCTCCCACCGCGGTTCTTCCCGCATCCACCTGCTGCACCTTTCAGTCTTCCATGGTTGCCCGGGCACCCTGCCCAGGTTTGTTGTTGTTGTCAGTGGCAGGGAAAGGGGATGCAAGCTGACCCTGTGTCACCTGCAACCTGCTTCGTCTTCACATCGGAGATTACCATGACTGGGCCAATCCCGTCATGTGGCTCGCTCAGGTGTGCCCATTTCCAGCTGCTGCAGACAGTGCAGAAATGAGCGAGCTTGTTCATCCTCAGACTTGTGTTTGGGATATGTCCCGTACCTGGGCGGGATTCCTGGAAGGGTGAGTTCCCGGTTGTGGAATTGTCGAGAGTGCTTCCCCAACACATTCTCCCAGTGGATTTAATGTAAGCATATTTGTCTTCTTACCATTTAAGTCGTGGAGCAAGACAGTGGCCTCAGTAACCACATGCCCCTCCTGTCTCGGGACCTTTGTCTGAATTGTTCATGAGCCCACAACATGGTCCCTCTAACTCTAGAGTGTCTTGGGGTAGAAAAGCAAATCCCAAGGAGCAGTTTCCAAATAGCTGTATGTGAAAGCACTAGGAGTTCAAGGTGTATCCGGCCCCAGTGCACCCCAGCGTGTGTCTGTGCCCGAAGGACCCCTGATCTTCCATACATGGGGCAGCATGAGGTGGGTGTGGATATCGCAGACGTGTCGGAACACCATCTTCCTGAGTCTGATTGCAGAGCTGGCAGCTGAGTCAACATGGGCCTCCAGATTCTGGTCCTCAGGACGTAGTGATGTCCTGAAGCAGCTCAGCAGACATCTCTTCTGCGCCCACCCATCCTGGTTGCTGCCTGCAGGGCTGAGATTAACCTGGTGGGCTGCACGGCTTTTCTGCTCCCCTACTGAGCCTGCCTTCCCAGCGTTCATGACCTCACATGGTCAGTTACAGAGTGCTGTGCAGTCCCTACTCCCCAGGAGGAAGACAGCCCTCCCAATCTAGGGGCAGTCACAGCTGGAAGCATGGAGGGCCCCCTGAGTAAGGCCAGTCAGAGTGCCAGAGCCTGGCCAGCCAGCGAGGGCCCATGTTGGCACGTGCTCTCTGAGGACCGTCTGCCCCCAGGCACTGTCCTTGTGCTGGCCCAGCGGGGAGGAGCCCGACACAGCCCCTCACCAGAAGGGGGAAAGAGATGGGTGGGCAGACAGAGCTGTTGAGGGGCAGGGGAGGGAGAGGTGGCTGCTGTGTGCTGTGGGGGCAGGGAGCTGCCTGCCAAGTGGGGACAGTGAGAGGCCATGTGGCCGGAGTATAGTGAGCAAGGGGGGGGTGATGGAGCCAGACCGTGCAGGGCCTGCTGTCCTGTTGTGTGCCTTTCCTGGGGTTGTCATCTACTTGGTGCCTTAGTTCTCTGCCTCCCTCAGAGGCGGAGCGCTCGCGTGTTTGCATGTGGTGCTTTCCAGACACTTGAGTTAAAAGCTGGACAGATTCTCCTCCTCCTCTGCAGAGAGAGAGGCAACTCGGGCCCTGCACCATGTGAGTGTGGCTGGGCCCTCTGAGGAGTGGCCCGTGCGGCCCCGAGGCCCCTGCGTTTGCAGCCCTGGCCCTCACCTGTGGATGTAGACGTGCTGATATGGGGTGGTGGTCACAGCTGTGGCCCTAGTGCCTCTGCCAGCCACCGTGCGGCCTCTGCCCTGTGCCTCAGTGTCCTTGTATCTAAAATGGGCATGTGAAGAGGTGCTGCAGCAGCCTGGCTCCCTCAGGACAGTCTCAGGGCTTGCCTGTTAGCCCGCCGTGACTTCTCATCACACTCAGATGCTTCCTGGTCTGCACGTGAGGTAGAGGGTCACCCGAGTCAGAGCCCTGGCCTGCAGGCTGTTGAGGCACGCAGAGCCCCGCCTGGCGCAGAAGAAGGGCTCAGTCAGTTACTGTCATGACTGTATCTGTTTAAATGCACGGTTACTTTGGATCAGTGGTATCAGACTTCAGGGCACCCTGGGGAGCACCGAGGGGTCAGGGCCCTGAAAGCCCCATCTTTAGGAAGTAGGGACATAGGCTGGGTGGCCTCAGTCCCCACATGGAGAAACAGATTTCAAGAAAAGCAAGTGTGGCCTGCTCCGAGAGAGGCCTGCCTGTGTAACCTGAGACTTGAGAGGGCAGGGTCCCTGTGTCGGCCTCTGTGGCCCTGCACAAAGGCCGGATGGGAGGAAGGTGAGGCTCACCCAGCTCAGGGGATGGTGAGAAGGGCATTGAGAATGGGGCAGCTGGTGAGCAGGGACCTCCCCTCACGCCCGCCTCGCCATCCCCCAGGTCAGTGCCAATGGCAACGTGCTGCGCAGCGAGATCGTGGGCTCCATCAAGATGCGGGTCTTCCTGTCAGGCATGCCCGAGCTGCGCCTGGGCCTCAATGACAAGGTCCTCTTCGACAACACAGGCCGTGAGTACCCCGCCAGCCCCACGGCGTCCCTGTGGCCAGAGCGGGCCTCGCGCTGAGCTCAGAGCAGCGCTGAGGGGATATTGAGCTGCGTGAGGGAACACGCGGATCTCAAGCACTTGCTTCAGACACATTTTCACGTTGCGGACAAGATAACTGTGAAAACTAATACATCGATACCTGGACATAGAAAATACAGAAGAGTGAAGATCCCAAAGTCAAGTCCCCCTACCGCCCCCCGGGCTAGAAGACAAGGGCCAGTGCCTTAGATGTTAAGTTCAGGGAGGGTCACGCAGCAGGTCCGAGACCCTGCGCTACACCATCCTGGAGGGAGCTGCGGGCTCAAGGTTAGGCCTAGTCCTCCCCTCCCTGCGGAGCTCCTGTCCCCGCGTGGGGCACGGGGTGGGGGCTGCTCTAAGGCTGCACACAGTGGTTCCAGCTCTCACCACCTGGCCTGGACGTGGCACTCGCTGTGCTGGGGCAGGGGCCACAGTGACCGCAGAGCCCCGCTTACTGAGGTTCTGTGTTTACAAACGGGACCGCCAGCTGCGGGAGCAGTGGCCGCACCGTCGGACTTCACCTCCACAGCAGCAGGACTGAGGGCCTCTCTGGTGTCAGCCCATCAGGGCGGCTCCTGTCCCTGGCTGGCCCGGCCTGCACAGCTCCTCTGTGGGCTGGAACACCAAGCCAGGAACCAAGAACCCAAGGGATGATGAGGATGGGGGCCAGGGCGCACTGGGAGCCCTGAGCCATCACCGTGCATCCCCAGCCCGGTCTGTTAGTCATTCGGCAAATGTGTCCCAAGCGGCAGCCCTGGCCAGACCCTGAGCTAGCTGCTGCGCACTCCGAGTGAACCAGGCCGCCCAGCCCTGCCCTCAGCAGGTGCCCAGTGTCAGGATGTGACGAGGCTTCCAAGGGGCTGAGGAGGGACAGAGGAGGTTGTCTGGGAACCTGGACCCCTTGGCCTTTGTGACCCACAGATTTGAGGGGCAGCTCTGCTCTGCCAGGGGTGAGCCCCAGGCAATGGGAGCGTTGCTGACAGAGTGACCCAGAGGGCCTAGGGTCTGTCCCTGCCCTCACCCCTGCCTCCCCTCAGGTGGCAAAAGCAAGTCCGTGGAGCTGGAGGACGTGAAGTTCCACCAGTGTGTGCGACTCTCGCGCTTTGAGAATGACCGCACCATCTCCTTCATCCCTCCAGATGGCGAGTTTGAGCTCATGTCCTACCGCCTCAACACCCACGTGAGTGCACCCACAGGCACCTGCCCCCGGGACGGGCTGCCACCCAGACGGCAGTGGGCAGTGTGTGGAGGCCCCAGACGGGCTCCCACCTCCTCCCCGGTGGGTGGGAATAGTCCCCCTCCAGGATGAGTCTCACATCCACAAGGTGATACCCAGGGTAGGCAGCCGCTCCCACGGGCTGCCCAAGCTCCACAGAGCCCATGTTCGACAGCTTGGGGCTCTGAACTTTCTGAGGGGCCAGACCCCATTCTAGGCAGCCCCCGTGATGTTTTCTGCATTTTCACAGAGGCCCATCAGTCTCTATGTCCATCCCGGTCTCGCTGTGGACTCCTTCCATAGGGCGTTGGCATGCTGGGCTCACACCTGGGCACATGGTCCCTTTCCCCAGGCCTCAGTTTCCCCTCTGTGAGATGGGCTTCTGTAAAATTACCATGCATGAGTGCCACCTTCACTCTCCCCAATAGGTCAAACCCTTGATATGGATCGAGTCCGTGATTGAAAAGCATTCCCACAGCCGCATAGAGTACATGATCAAGGTGCGTGCACATCCCACACACAGCGTCAGCCTGGGGACACGGGCAGTAAGGGGGGTTGGTGGATGGCCCTGCCTATTCAGGGCCTTTGGCACAGGGTCCTAACCAGGGCAGGGGCCCCATGGGGCTCTGTGCTCCCTATCCTGGGAGATAAGGCCTGTGGCTGAAGCTTGTGCTGCCTCACTGTGAGCCAGAGGGAAGCATGGGGAGCCCTGAAAGTCAAGGGGACTGGAGGGCATAAGGAGACTCTCAGGTGGGTGAGAGGGTGTGAGCTGTGCCTGGAGGACTGGGGGCCGGCTTGGTGGGGCCCCCAGGCCAGGCCTGGTGGGGGCTGGGTTGTCTCACCTGCGCCGTCCACAACCTTGGCTGCACTGGTCTCATCTGCAGGCCAAGAGCCAGTTCAAGCGGCGGTCGACGGCCAACAACGTGGAGATCCACATCCCCGTGCCCAACGATGCCGACTCCCCCAAGTTCAAGACGACGGTGGGGAGTGTCAAGTGGGTCCCCGAGAACAGTGAGATCGTGTGGTCCATCAAGTCCTTCCCGGTGAGTGCCCTTTTCAGTGGATGCCCCTCTTAACGTCCGCCCACACCCCACCTGCTCCCTGTGCCCATCACAGTACAGCAGCCTCGAAACAGGGCACAGGGCCTCGATCCCCAGCTGGGGGTTCTGGGAGGCCAGCAGAGGAGAGCTGAGGGGCTGGCCGAGCAAGGAGGGAAAGCTGGAGCTGGCAGAGACGGCTTGCATGTGACCAGCCTATCTCCAGGGTCAGGGCATCCCCCCGCCCTCTCTCTGACACTGGTTCAGAACTCAGCTTCCCTCGAGGGGACCAGACTGCCTCAAGGCCTGAGCAGCGTGGGTTTCAGGAATCCAGCACCAGCTCCAGGAATGTAGAGCACTTCATGCTGGCATAGCTGCCTGGCTTGTGTTCAGGATTTTCAGCACTGGAGTCTGGGTTTGCCGCAGAAGTGCCCAGAGAGCCTGGAAGGTGGATGTGTGTTCCTGTGCCAATTATGGCCCATTGCCTTTTTCTCATTATAAACAAGATGGAGCTCCTTTTTTTATGTCTGGGGGCCATTTGCATTTCTTTCTCTGGAAACCGTAGCAGCCATCTCTTGCTCGTTTTTCTTTCAGGTTTGGTCATTTTCTTTGTTTCTGAGAGCTCTTTGTATATGGGCAAGTTGAGCACTTTTTCTTTGATATAAGTCACAAATGGTTTTCCCCAGTTTAATGTTTATCTTTTGGCTTTGTTTCTGGTGGTTTTTGCTGTGTCATCTTTTTTTATTGCTTCTTTGTTTCATTATTATTTAATGTAGTCAGATTTCCTGGTCTTTTCTTTTTATTGCATCTGAATTTTAAGTCATGCTTTGAAAGGCTTCACCATTCCCAGATGTAAAGGAATTCACCTATATTTGCTTCTAGAACCTGTACAGTGGCATTTTTCACCTTAGATTTTAGGTGCTTTCAGAACTAGGTCTGGTAAATGGTGGGAGGTACAGGTCCAGTTTTATCTTTTCCAAATGGCTATTCAGTTTTTGAACATCATTTACTAAAAAGTCCATCTTCTCCCCTGTGGTTTGAAATGCCATGTTTATTAAATATCAGAGTTTTACATGGCATTAGATCTCTTTCTGAATGTTCTGTTGTCTCTCTGTCCACGCAGCAAGGCCATATTTTAACTCAGAGCTTTATTCTCTGTTTTAACATCTGATAAGGGCAGCCCCCCCCCCCACATCGCTTGTTTGTTTCCTGGTGATTCTTCCTTGCTTACTTGTTTGGTGTTCCTTTTGAATTTTAGAATCAGTTTGTTTGCACCAAATTTATAAGTCGAGTAGGAAGAGCTAACACCTTTATGAGGCTTTGTGCCTGTCTCACCTCAGTGCTTTGGGGGCTGTCTTCGTGTTTACTGTATACACCTCACATAGCCTCTCCCTTGGTTTAAAAAGTACGTTCATTGAAGTACAACATGCAGAAAAGTAGACAGATGAAATGTGGACAGTTCGATGAATTTCCTCACCGGGGGACACATTCATGTGCCTGGAACCAGATGAAAGCCGCAGAACTGCCCGCCCCGCCCCGCCCCCCCACCGCCCCATCCTCAGGAGCCCCCAAGGTGCCCACCAGTTTGCCCGTTTCTTGTTAAGATGAGCCTTGAGTCACTGTTCTGGTGAGTGGGGTCTTGTCTTCCACCGTGTCTTCCAGCAGGTAGCCACTGTTTGCATGGTAATTTCACGCCCTGATTCCTTACCGGGTGTCTGCTTTAGGGTAGTTTTTCTTTCAATTCCTGTGGGTTTTCAGATATTCTTTTGTATCATTTGCAGCCAAATGCAGTTTTCCCTTCTCCTCTGCTCTTCTTGGGCATTTGATGGCTCTGGCACCTCCTTGCTTTGGCTGCTCTCTCCAGGACCTGTAAGTGGTGGTGGACAGTGGCCTCCTGGTCTTGCCCCCACCTGGAAACACCAGCCATGTCCCCTCCAAGTGCGACGCCACGTTGGGCTGTGGACTCGATCCAGCCCTACTTTACTGCGGTTTGGGCACAAATGGGTAACAGACTTACCCAGGTGCCCCTTCAGTGTCTGTCAGTTCAGGTCTGTCAATGGGTGGAGCTGGACCATCCCTGCGTTCTGGTAAGCTCCACCTGATCGAGGTATCTTTCCTTTTCAGTGCACCGTTGGATTCTATCAATGACATTGTACATAACATTTTCACTTCGATAATCACAACGGAGATTGATTTTTTTTGGTGCACTCTCTGTCAGGTATTAGTGTTAGACCTGCTTCGTAATTACTCTGTGTCCGATCTCTGTGCTGCAGAACCGTTTAAGTGGCCGGGACATCATCTGGTCTTGAGAAGGTTGGTAGAATTTGGCTGTGTGACCTTCTGGATCTCGACTACTTTCTCCATCTCTTTTCTGGAAATCGGGTCCTTCAGAGTTTCCATTTCTGTTGGAGACTGTTTGGGTAAATTATATTTGCCTTCAAAATTATCCATCCTAACCAGGTTTGCAAAGTTGGAGAAAGTGGTCTTTTTTTTCTTTTCATTCACTCATGATGGTTACTTCTTCCTTATTCTTTCTTCTTGTGTGTATTTGGGTCTTCTGTTTCCCTGGATAAGGTTGCCTAGTAGCTTGTCTTTTTGTTTTTTCTTTCCAGGTTTGTATTTTAATTTTGTTGTGATATTTTTCTGTCTTTTATAAGTCTTTAATTTGCATTTCTTCATCCCTTCTTCTAATTTTTTCAAGTTAGATATTTTCATTTGATGATTTTGCTTTAAAATTTATATTAATCCAAGTATTTATATTAATCCAAGATGTTCCTCTAAGCCCTGCCTTAACCTCTGTAACCCATAGATTCTGACATGTAATATTTGACTTGCTCATCTAGAAATTCTGTAACTGGATAGAGGATTGTTGTTGTTTTTTTAAAGATTTATTTATTTATTTTAGAGAGAGCAAGCATGAGCCTGGGGGAGGGGCAGAGGGAAAGAGAATCTCAAGCAGACTCCCTGCTGAGTGTGGGGCCCAATGCGGGGCTCGATTGCAGGACTTGATTGCAAGACCCCGAGATCATGACCTGAGCTGAGGTCATGAGTCAGACACTCAACCAACTGAGCCACCCACGTGCCCCGGTGGTTCTTTTTAAATTTCCTAGGGGGTAGGCTTTCTGATTTTCATTTCTCCTCACCACCGATTTGGAGCACTAAACCCAGAGAGTGTTATTCTTACTGTTTCTACTTCTGGGATTTCTCGAAGTGTTCGCTGTGTGCTAACAGAAGGTCAGAGTTTGTAAATACCGCAGGTGCACTGGGGAGGAAGACGAGGCTTCTGTTACTGGGGTACGGGGCCCACGAGGTCGGCCGTGACGCCGTGGCAGCATCCGCCTGCTCAGCGCTGCCTTCCTCTGGTTCCCTTTGCACGTCATGTAGCATCTGCTTAACAGAGGTTGCCGCCCTGTTAGTTGGCGCTCGTAGACACTCGTGACTATTATACTTTCCCTGTGGATCTTAGGACTGCAGCCTCTAGGACCGTGGCCCTCCCTTCCTGCCCTGACGGCAGCCCCTGCTGTGTTTCATCTGCCCCTCGCTGGCGCGCCTTCACCCAGTCTTCCTGCTGGCATAGCTTTTATCCGCTTTTGCAGCACAGAGCTGTGTTTTGGTCTGTGAGCCAGCCTGTAGGTCTTTCTGGTCCGGGCGAGCATTAAACCCGTTGACATCGACACGGTGGACCCAGGGCAGGGGAGCAGACTTCTACCGCTCCGCTGGGAAGGCCTGCCCATCTGCATGCGCGTTTGCTTTCATTTTCCCTTTTGTCTTCATAAGGCTCAGATTTGGGGTCTGGTTATTGTCTCATACACAGGCTGGTGGAGCTGATTTTATTCCTTTGCCGCCTGCTTTGTCTGCTGCTGGGACCACATTATTCTCCCCTCGTCCCAGAGTCTTTACTCAGCACATGTCCCTGCCTCAGGCAGAGCCCCCGCTCTCGCACTGGCCCCGGCGCTGGTGAACAGACTGGCACCATCCCAGGGCCGGGAGCCTGAGCGCAGCCCTGGGGAGCTGGGGCTCGGCTCTGCTCTACCCGAGACGCACAAGGACGGCCACCGGCCCTGGTGGGCAGCCACTCCTGCCAGAGCCCCGGGGGTCAACAACTGCAGCGTCCTGGTGTGGCCGGAGCTGAGCTCTCTCTACTCCCCACTGCTCGAGGTGAGACACACCGGGCGCCTGGACCGCCAGACCGAGATGCCTTCCTCCTGCGCCGGACCGGGCTTCCAGGCCTTCCTGGCCCTGCCCCAGGCCCCATCTCTAATCACTGCTCAGCCTCCGGGGCCAGAGCTGCCCCCTTCCTTACCCTCTGGGACAGGACGCCAGTCTAACTCATCAGTCAGCCCCTGACCTCAGTCTCTTACTTTTGTTACCTCCCTCTACTCACCATCCCTCATTTTGACCTTCCCCCCCCCCGCCCAGCTGCTTGCACACGCTGCCTACTAGACTTTGGGCACGTGGGGGTGTTCACTCGGACTCTGGCCTGGGCAGGGGGGCACGTGTCCCATGGTGGCACTGTCTGTGCCCCCTCTTCCTTCCTGAGGCCTGTCCTGTCAGGCTGGGCTTCCTTGAAGCAACTAGTCCTCCCTCCCGGAGAGTTTGTGAAACTCCTGATGCTTGGAATTCACCAGTTTTCCCAGCATGCCTCTGATCTGCCCGGCACAGCCGGCAGGACAGTCCGTGAGGCCTGGGGTAAATACAAGTGCGTTGGAGGAGCTGAGACCCCGGGTGTCCACAGCCATGCAGGAAGGGGCTCAGTGGCCACGCCAGCAACCTGGAATCCTCTGGGGGCAGCTGTTGGCCTGACCGTCTCTACCTCGTGTGCTCCTCCAGGGGGGCAAGGAGTACCTGATGCGGGCCCACTTCGGCCTGCCCAGCGTGGAAGCGGAGGACAAGGAGGGCAAGCCCCCGATCAGCGTCAAGTTTGAGATCCCCTACTTCACTACCTCTGGCATCCAGGTACGCATGGCTGGGGTTGCCAGGGCCCCGGAGCAGACATGGGCAGGCCCAGGTGTCCGTCCCGGCTCAGAGAGCTGCAGACGACAGCTTAGGTGAGGGTGCCGGTCAGCCTGTCCCGGGCCCACCGCGGGGCTGCCCTGCTTCTGCCTCCCTCCACACCTGTCAGTTCACACCTGACCCTGTGTTTCGGCTCCAAGCTCAGAGATTGGTTTGACCCCCAGAACTAGAGTCTGAGCCTCTAGTGTCCACGCACTTGCCACCGTGGGGCCTGTTTTTCCTAGGCACCTCCACGGCAGATCTGTGAGGGGAAGTGCCTGAGAGTACACACACACACCCTGGCTCTTTTCCCCCCCTTCCAGCAGTGACCCCTCCCTCCCACGGCGTCTGCATGCTATGGACAGGCACCCGCCCCTCCCGTCCCCTCCCACTGCCCCCTGCCCATGCTGGCCCGCTCCTCATCACAGCCTCCCCTCCCTGGCCTCTGTGGGGAGTGGTGGGGGGACCAGGAGGGGACAGCGTGTACATGCTCAGGGCCCTGCTGCCTGTGCCCTAGGTGCGCTACCTGAAGATCATCGAGAAGAGCGGCTACCAGGCTCTGCCGTGGGTCCGCTACATCACTCAGAACGGAGGTGCGTGCAGCCCACCCGTGCGTGCTACTGAGAGGGTGGTGCACGTGGAGCAGCCCCAGGGTTGGGGAGGGCAGCCCCTCCCCACTCAGGTACAGTGCAGAAAACCAAGGCCTCCCTCCCTGATTCTAGATTACCAGCTCCGGACCCAGTGAGGGGCCATGCGGCCAGCACCCCCGGCCCCGGCGCTGGGGCTCCTGGCAGAAGCACCAGGAGGAAGCACCTGCCAAGCCTGCTGGATGGAGGAGGGGCACCCCTGGCCACCGGCCACCCTCCCGGCTCTTCCCGGGGACCCTTCCTTTTCCAGGCACACCTGCTCTGCCGTTGCCACTCTCGTCTCTGGGCCCCTTCTCCCGGAAGAAGCTCATCTTCGAGAAGTCTTGTCTCTCTGCCCCCTGAGTCAGTTTGAGGGGAAGGAAACGAAATCTTTCCCTCTAGAGATCAAATACAGCCTCTTCTGTGCTGGTTAGCTCCCAAGCACCACAAAGAGGGGGAAGTGCCCACCCGGCCGCTGGCTGCACATGGCTTCTGGCCAGGCTGGCCGGGCCGCCGTTTGGTTGCCGTTCTGTTGAATGTTGTAGGTTCATGAGTGTTCCTAGTTTCTGTCTCGTTCATTCCTTGTTGTTCACGTGAACCTCACTGTCTGCGCCTCCCGCCCCTCGTCCTGAAGGTCTCGGGCAGCACTTAGTGAGGGCAGAGTGCCCTCCTCCTCAGCAAGGCCCACACGACACTGGGTTCCCTTCCGTGTCTGGCCCGACCCTGGCCCGCGCCTCTGTGGCAGAGGCTCGTCGCCTCTCGCCCGAGGCTTTGGCGGAGGTGCCTTCCCAGGGTCCGCTGTGCCGTGTGAGGCCGTCACTCAGCCGCATCAGTGTTTGTCCCCCCAGGGAAGTGGTGTCCAGCGAGGACCGCTGCCTCGGAGGGTCGGGGGGACAGGTCATCCACATCTGTGCTTGGTCACCCACCGCCACCCTGCCTGTGTTCATGTCATGATTACATTAAAGTCCATTTCGGAAACACACTGCCTGCTTTCCCTCAGACACAGCATGTGGCCGACTCCTCCTGGGTGAGCAGGAGTGGGTGCGGGGCTCACATCACCTCCTGCCCCCCCGACGGTCTTCCTCAGTGTGTTCCTCAGAGCAGCGGCGTCCATGTCCCCTTTGAGCTCATTTGGAACGCACATTCACAGATCCACCCTGACCTGCTGAGAAAGAGTTCACAGGTTCCACGGATTCACATGTGCGCTGGAGTTTGAGAACCACTGCCTGGTCCACAGAGGGGATCATGGGGGGCACACAGGCAGGAAGCACCCTGTCTTCCCACAGCGGGCACCTGCCTCACCCCCCCCCCCCCCCCCCCGTCTGTGCCGCTGGCCCTGCCTGGATCATCCCCTCTTCCTTCAAAGACTGTGCTCCCCTGGCCCTCTCCCGTATCACCCAGCTCCCCCTTGGAGGACTGGTGGGCATCAGCCCAAGTAGGAGCTTGTCCTTTCAGCTGCATTGAGTTAAGGATACCACCCTGGCCCAGAGCTCAGGCCAGAGCTGCTGGAGGTACCCTTGATGGCCCCTCCCTCACTGCCCACACCCACATCCACAGCCTGGCCTCCCTCCAGAAGAGACCATGGGTCCAATAGCATTTCCCGTCCTCACTGCCACCCCTGGAGGCCAAGCTGCAGCCTCCAGAGACCCTGTGGGACACAGAGGTCATCCGCAGTATAGAGGGGGGGCCTCTGTTCCCGGCAACGCTTAGGACACGGTTGTCTGCAAGCCCTCCCGCTACTAGCACATGGTATGTGGTGTTTAGTATATGTAAGAGAAAGACAGAATGGGGCTAAGCATCCATCTCAAGAAGTCGGGGAAAAAAACAAAAGAAGCCTAAGAGCATAGAAAGAAGGGAAAAAATAGCAGACATGAAGGAAGTAGAAAACATTCAATGAAAAGCAGAAGCACAAGGTGGTTCTTGTAAAAGATGAATGGAATTCAAAAGCTGCTAGGAAGTTGAATCAAGATGGAAAGAAGGCACAGGTCGCTCTCACCGGGAATGAAAGTTTACTACAGCTTCTCAGACAAGGAAGTTACAGCAGGACAGCCACCACCTCACAGGGCGTGCGGGCCGCCGTGTGCTCCGGAGCGCCAGCCACCTGGGGGAGGGCTGTCCTTGTCTAAGCCACCCAAAAACCCCGGAGGGGGCGTGGGATGCTGGGAGCGACTTCGTGCCAGCACACTTGAAAATGTTAACATGGGTAAACTCCTAGAGAACAAAAGCTGACTCAAAAAGAAGGGAAAAAATCTGAGTAGTCCTATGGCCACTAAAGAACCAGAGCTGGTCAGAGCTCCGGGTCCAGAGGGCCTTATTAGGAGAGCTCTACCCAGCACTCGAGGGGAAAAAAGAGAATTGAACAAACACTCCCGGAGAGTAGAAAAATAGGAAACATTTCCTGACTCATTTTATGAGACCAGCATTTCCTCGAAACTATGAAACAGGAAAATTATAGACTAATCTCACTGATGGCCATAGATGTGAAGATCCTAAATAAAATCGGAGGGGAATTGGCGGTGTATACAAAGGACCTTATGTCTAAGGTTAAATCTTAGGTAAAATGGTTTAATGCTAGAAAATGCGTTAATCGAATCCACTGTCTTAAAAAGAGTAAGGGAGGAAAACATTTATGATCGGTTCAATAGGTGCAGGTAAAGGGTTTAATAAACATTCATTCATGATCAAAAAGAATAAACAACACATGCCAACTCCAAACTATTGACAATGGTACCCCCCAAAATGAAGTACCTGGGATTAAAAAATATACAAGGCTCTCGAGGAACTTTATGGAGGGTGTTCAGGGAAGACCTAAAGGAGAGGGGGGCACATCCTGGTCATAGAATGGACATCTGTATCAAAGATGCCAACATTCCTTGTGGTCGGCAGAGTAACGGGCTCCCCCCCCCAAAGACGTCTGCGGTCCCCAGAACCTGTGAATATGTTAAATTGCCTGGCAAAGGGGATTAAATTTGCAGATGGAATTACGGTTGCTAATTCGCTGACCGTAGTGGAGAGGTTACCCTGAACCATCTGGTGGGTCCAATGTAATCACAATGGTCCTTAACAGCAGAAGAAGGGGACAGAAGAGGGAGAAGCAGAAAGCGGTGGTGTGGGAAGGACCCGGTCTGTGGTTGCTGGCTGTGAGGGTGGAGAAGGGGCCATGGGCCAAGGATGCAGGCCGCCTCCAGAAGCTGGAAAAGGATGAGACGAATTCTCACCAGAGTCTCCAGCAGGAACACAGCCCTGCTGACACCTGGGCTTTAGCCCCGTGAGACCCTTTCAGACCTCTGACCTCCAGGATTTAAGTTAATAAATCTGTGTCGTTTTATGTTTGTGATAATCTGTTACAGCAGCAGTAGGTGACGAATAGACTTCAAAACTATGTATAGGTTGAAGGCATTCCCATTCAAAATCCCAGTCAGGTTTTTGTGGAACTTGATAAGCAAATTCTAAAATTTACATGGAAGGTCAGAGCAAAGAATAAGAATCTTGAATGGGGCACCTGGGTGGCTCAGTCGGTTAAGCGTCGGACTCCTGATTTCGGCTCAGGTCATGATCTCAGTGTCGTAAAATTGAGCCCTGTGTCGGGCTCCGCATTCATCGGGGAGTCTGCTCGAGTTTCTCCCTCTCCCTCTGCCCTTTACCCCACTTGCGCGCTCTTTCTCTCAAAGAAAGGGATGACCTATTTGGGCATCAAGGCCTACTTCATCGATAGTAATTAAGACACATACAGTGTGATTGCTTTAGAAGGAAGTTCGAAAACAGACTTCAATGAAACTGTTCTTTAGGGATGCTTCCATCGTAAGGGGCAAATCTAAAGAAGAGGAAGTCAGAATGGGTCTACCTTGGGTGGAAGAGGGGAAGGCACAGGGGGCTCTGGGGTGCTGGCCGCTCTCTTCTTTCTTGAGTGGGTGGTCTTGACATGGGTGTTTGCCTCGTAATTCTGTTGAACTGTATGTTTATGTTTTATGAATTTTACAGTATGATGTTATGATATTTAATGCATCAAAACTCAGATGAATTTAATGCCACTTAACAGTTCCTGACCAAAAAAGGATGGAAAACCCCCAATTCATTCTTTTAAGCAGCCGGCACTTGAATGCCAAAACCAGTTAAGGATGGTAGAGAAGAAACCGTGGGCGAAACTTACTTATGAATAACAAAACTCCTAGACAAAATATTAGCAACCGGGATGGAGCAGTGGGTAAACCGTATCATATGCTGTGACTAAGCGGGGTTGATTCCAGGAACATGAATGGGCTCCTCAGAGGCCACTCAATCCCTATAACTCATCCCACCACCAAACCAAACCATATCCGTAAGTTTGAGAAAGAATTGTTGCCACAACAGACATCCCTAACAGACACAGCAATAGGAGGGAGCAGCTTCCCTACAACAAACGATCCCATTTTCCACCAAGCATCAGAAAGTGCCCCTCTTGGGCACCTGGGTGGCTCAGAGGGTTAAGCCTCTGCCTTCGGCTCAGGTCATGATCCCAGGGTCCTAGGATCGAGTCCCGCATCGGGCTTCTTGCTCAGCAGGGAGTCTGTTTCTCCCTCTCCCTCTGCCTCTGCTTGTTCTCTCTCTGTCTCTCTCGCAAATGAATAAATAAAATCTTAAAAAAAAAAAAGTGCCCCTCTTGTAGCAGACAAGCAGGGAAGGAAGGTTTGCCTGGTGGCTCTTTCTCTAGCAACGCGCACAGCAGGCAGGAGGGGCCAGGACACGGGGCCCCGAAGCCCCCATGATGTGACAGGTGCAGCTGGGAGGTGCTGAATCTCACTTAGAGACTAGTGAAAGTGATGCTGTCACTGCCGTCCTGCCGCCCCGGCCCGAGTTCCATCATGCCCCTGCACCCCCTCTCGTACCAGCACAAACATTCAAGAAGGCTCCCTATAGCCCTGTAAGAACAAACAATGGGACTTGGCCCAAGTGCAGCCAGCGGGGAGAAGGGCGGAGCAGCTGTGTGTCCATCCAGGCAAATATTCTGCTCACTCGACCAGCCAGGGCTGGGTGTGCTGACACGGCCAACCCCACAGCTATGCTCAGTGGTTCCCACCAAAGCTGAACATTCACCCAGCCTGCGACCCCACAATTCCACCCCTGGGCATCTACCCAAGAGAAGCGAGCACATGAGTCCCCGAAAAGACATGGAAGCGAATGCTCACAGCAGCTGGACTCACTGTGGTAGCCCCAAACTGGAAACACAAACGGTGGGGGCCCCACTCAACCCCCTAGACACAGCGATGAAAAGGCACAGAGGCCTGCTCCCCACCACGCGGAAGCGTCTACTCCTGGGGGCAGGAGGCTGTGGACTGGAGGGAACCTCTGGAATGAAGGGAAGGTCCTACATTTTGATCTGGGTGCTGCTCCCGCTCGTGTACAGGTAGGTAACACACGCTGAGATGGACATCTAACACACGTGCACTTTACAGAGTTCATGTGTGTGTGTCACACCTCAGTTCTTCAAAGCTTAAAAAATAAAAATACTGATAGTTAAAAATATAAACGATATTAATGAAATCAGCCAATTGCAGGAGGATGTCATCCTGTTATTTATATAAAGTTTAAACTCACATAAATCATGTTGCCTATGGCCAAGAGTAAGTAATAAAGTATAAAGCACGTGAAGGAAGGACTGACTCCCAATTCTAGACAGCAGTACGTTCCGGGGCAGGAGAGGGACGGCCGGAGACCACGTGCCTCCACTGCATCTGTCAAGTTCATTCCTTCCGGTCAGTGGTGCATAAATGGATATTTGTTAAATTATCACCCGTGTTTTTGTGATGGCCTACGATGGCTCTTAATAAAGGTCGCAGTTCAGACCATGTTTCTCCCCTGCTCAAACTCCTACCATGGCTCCCCAGTGCCCTTGAGAATAAAACCCCTCGTCCTGCAGGTACAGCCCAGTGTCCACTCTGGCTTCCACTCACACCCTCCTTCCCTCTGCTCCTGCCACCCCTGCCTCTTTGCCCCAAGTTTGTC